CACAATATGATCTATAGTGATGATAAACTTCCAACAGCAAATTAATTTTAAATTTTAAAATCAGGCTATGAATTAGATTTGATGTAAAACTGGTCGTTTAAATTCCTGTATTTCTTAATTACCTTGAATTTCGATATACATTGTAGTAATATAATAACAACCATTTGTCACTTTAAAATTAAAGTCAATTGCTTTTTAGGGCTCCTCCGAGCTGAAGCTAACTCTGAAGAATGGAGTCTGTCCATATTTATTTCTGTGCGATTTGAACTCCGCTACTCGAGAATTTTCACTTCAACCTGAACCACTTCACTTTCAAGTGCTCACAATATTTTGTACCGATAAACATGTTTCCTCCATAAACTAATGGACTTAACGTTGTCAGTTTTTAAAACACGATGATAATTTTTCATAGAGGATTTCTTTTTGTAAATACGTACACTAGGCTCATTTGAGTGCAAGTGTTACTTTTTTTTGTTGACTTGAAAACACTATAGTCTTTTTTAATAAATTAAAAAAACGCAGAATAACTGAGGGTAACCATGTACAAATTCAAAGATTTTATTTTCCTCTTTTAGAAATTACTTCCACACTGCCCTTGGTTTTTATTGGTTTTTTTCGCAATTACTATCTGCTTTTCACGTTCTGGAAGATATTAATGTATCGACACATGGTTTATAGCCCATCGAATTTTATATTGTAGTGGCTTATACTCATTTCATTTCTCATCTTACCTCATTTTCCATTCAGGTGGAACTTGAATGCTCAATCTTTATTGTTCATCTTAATGACGTTTAAAAATGTTATTCTTTAAATTGTTGCCTCCATACTATACTCATAAAATTTTAAAATGTAATTTTCAGTCTGCTTTTAAATCTATATATACAAAGCCATTATAGCTATATAAAATGGGGATTATTTATATTTACTTTGTCGAGAAATGCTACTTCTTCAGCACTGCGCGTACTTTATATGAAATATATTAGATCATTTAGTTAGCTCATAATCCAGCGCACAATAACCATACTATATGTTGGGTACTAGTATTACATTTTATTATGTTTTCTGTTTTTCGTTATAATAGTCCCCTTCCATGAAACCGGATAGGACTATATATGTTCTCTCTCTGACTCTCTATATCTCTGTCTATCTATCAGTTTGTCCCACTTGGTTGGGGGGGGGGCTTTTTTGTATTTTTGGCATGCATCATTTTGAGTTACCGATCATTTCACATATTGTTCCGTTTGGATGACTTTTGACTGACGGGAGTTACCGGTTTTGATGAAATACTCTCAGAATGCGTATAGGTTTGTGCAAAATCTTTTGGTGGACTTCATGGACAAATTCAGCTCTTCCTCCCAAGGAAAGGGAATTTATTTAACGAAATAACATGGAAATCAATGCACACATTTTGAACTGTTGAGTTTATAATAAGGTATAAAAATCTTCACGAATTTTGGTTACATTTACGTGGGATGCATACATGTTGCAATGCTCAACGTGTTTGAAAAGTGTTTTTAAAGATATTGATCACTTTGTTTAAATTTTTATGATTGGAATGTTTTAGAGTTTAGGCAAATGGTGTTATGCCAATGTTGTATGACTGATTTGGGGACCTATCATTATCTGTCATTAAACCAGTCTTACTGGTTTCATCTTTTTTGTTTACTGTTTCATTAGATTAAACACGTAAGCATATGATTAATATGTTATCACGCATAATTCTGTATTCAGTTCTTTTCTAAATTAGGAAATGCATGTAGTTTATTGATAACATTTTCAATGGTATATTGCCCATCATATACAGAATGAAAGCCCCCCTCCCCCCCCAATATTACTACTTTTGCAATATGTTGGACAAGAAAGTCACAAGCAAAATGTAACCTTTTAAACATTCCGAGAGAAGATTGAGATTTGCAGTTCAGCAGATCAGAAGATTTCACGGGGAAAGATACTAGTATTTGTTAAAATAATGCAGACACCGTTTAGAAAGAAAGTGAGTCTCCTAAGACTACTTTGTTTAGCATGCAGCATTCTTCCAACAGAATCTGTAATCTTATATATTGTCGATTAATACATGTACAAAATTACAGTAGATATACATAATTGTAATGAAAATTAAACGATTTCTTAAACAAGAGGCCCAAGGGCCTTAACGGTCACCTGAGTATAACAATTTAGAGGATCCATAAACTGATAAATGAAGCTTTGTTGCAAAAAATCAAGAAAAATAGTACGATTAAGATCAACAAAATAATTGTTCTAGTATCTATCTATCTGTCCCGCATTTATCACTATTACTATGCAGACTTTTAATTAAACGTCTATTACCTCTCACACTGACCTCACTTGGCCTTTGAAGAACATTTAAAAAGATAAGTTATTTTTGCTTCATTTTCATTCATGTATTATTTCCAAGTCTACCTGATCATTTAGACGAAGAAAATACTTTTTGTATTATACAATAAATGTTCTTGCATAATTCTCTTATTCTATTAACCTTTCAAATACATTATCTACAGTGATTAATTATCAAAGGTGAATGGCAAAGGGGAATAACTTCACTCAGTAGAATACAAATTAATAGAGCCCTGGCCAGGAGCAGAACACTTGACTAAATGGTCCAGATGTTCAAAAGTCTGGTAAAAATACCCTTGCTTATTAAAACTTTTTACTCTCTTTGCCTCCAATTGCCCAGGAGCAGAGAAGATCTTCAAAGAAATAATGCATTTTCACTATTTAACACAGCCCTACCCTAACACCAGAACCCATGACCCAGGGTCATGACATTTACAAATTTGGAAGAGGTACCCTCATCATCATAACTATGCAATTACATGTAGTTGAAGATTTTCAAAGAATTCACCCATTTTCACTATATTATCAATAGAGCCCCCCCCCCCCCCACACAACAAAACCCCTGGGACAACAAGTTTTAAAAATTTTGTAATAGCATCCTTGCTCATCATAACTATACACTTGTTTCTTTGCTTTATAACCAGGAGTAGAAAAAATATTTTGAAAGAAATTATGAATTTTCACTATATAATCAATAGAGTCCCCCCTTTCACCAGAACCCCTGACCCTGGGGACACGAATTTCACAATTCTGGAAGAGGTATTCTTGCTTATCATAGCCATGTACTTCCTTTGTTTAAATAATACCCAGGAGCAGAGAAGAAGATTTTCAAAGATTTAATGCATTTTCACCATATAATCAATAGAACCACGCACTAACACCAGAACCCCTGACCCTGGGGCCATGAAATTCACAATTTTGGAAGAGGCACTCTTCCTCATTATAACTATGTACTTAGTTAGTTTATTTAATACCCAGGAGCAGAGAAGGAGATCTTCAAAGAATTAATGCATTTTCACTATATAATCAATAGAGCCCCGCCCTAACACCAGAACCCCTGACCCAGGGGCCATGAAATTCACAATTTTGGAAGAGGCAGTCTTCCTCATCATAACTATGTACATAGTTAGTGTATCTAATATCCAGGAGCAGAGAAGAAGATTTTCAAAGAAATAATGCACTTTCACTATATGATCTATATAGCCCCACCCTAACACCAGAACCCCTGACCCTGGGGCTATGAATTTCACAATTATGGTAGAGGGCTCAATGCTTATTACAATCATGCCAACAGTTTGACTGCTTGATGTCCAGGAGTGAAGAAGATTTTAAAGATTGCATTAATTTTGGTAGTTTTAGCCCCACCCCTCAGGCCCCAGGGGGACAGGGACCATGAAATTCACATTTTTGTCCCCCTTCACCCATAGATGCTATATGCCAAAATTGGTTGAAATTGGTTGAGCGGTTTCAGAGAAGAAGCTGAAAATGTTTAAACGTTAATGCACGACGCACGACGACGGACAAAAACGGAGAGCAATAGGTCATCTGAGTGACTCAGGTGACCTAAAAAACTAAACGAAAAGATCACTGCAAATCTACACCTTTTTATCAGATCAAGTTCTGTTCTAGAGGATATATAAGACCTTATTTATTTTCATTCGGTGAGACAGTCTGACTCTAGTCATAATTTTAAAAGTAACTTTTTTTTAAAATTAACGATGAGTTTGAACTTAGTCTATAGTCTTTGATTTTTTGGGAATAGATGGCGGTGGAAAAAAATGTCACGAGCAATTAAAGTCTTGAATTGTCCTATTAATTATACATAGCGCAGATAAAAGGGCTATAATCGCGGTGTGTTTTGCAGTAACTTTCTATATCGGGGTAAGTTGGGAGTCTTGTTTTCGGAAGCTATACATACATTTACATATTATACGTGATGGTATTAAGAACTTTGTGTGCTTCTGAAGGCTGCATCAGTGCCGTTCCTTAATTTGTTATTTCGATGTAAAATGTGAAGATAACGAAGTAATCAATCTCATAAACTCGGTAATCAAAACAAACAGGGCAAAAACACAGACCCCTTGAAACACCAGAGGTGGGATCAGGTGCCTAGGAGGAGTAAGCATCCCCCCAAAATTATCAATCTGTAATTACAGCTTATGATTTTGTAAATTTCAAAATAATAATAATTTGCTATTTCAAATTAATGATTTGTTAATTCAAATTAAGAAAAGGTACTGGCGCAGCCCTTACAAACTTCCGTGCAACCTACAGAAGGTGTAGAGTATAACTTGAAATCTGAGATTCCACGCATTATATTTTGTTTTAAGTGATGCGGCCTTGACGTAAAGTGACAGTTAAAGGAACATGCACATCAAGCATGTTGTGTCAAATGATTATTTTTCTTTTCTTTTTTCTGTCCTGGAAAATGCATTATTACGCATGAACCAATTACTTTGGAATGCAGCTGCGAGTGACAACAAATTGCACAAAACTAGGGTGAGAAGTTATTTTTCGGAACGCCAATATGTCGCCATGACATAAAGACCCGATAACCTAATTACATAAATACCGTAATGCAGCTCAGGTCAGCTATAGTATTCGTATATAGTAATAAGATAAAAAGGCAAAAATAGGTTTTTTTTTTCTTTAACATTGTATTTAAATACCCATTCACCTGGAATATAAAAGGTAGTTGATGGACAAGATGTAGATACATATATATATATATGTACGGGAGACTTAACAGTCCCTATCACAGTTTTATTTCGTCTTTTCCGAAATTGCTTTCGGCGTTTATCTTTATAATTCTTCATGTTTTGGACCGCTAAATTCCTCGTGGGAAATTCTCCCGTCTCCATTTTTATCCTCAAATTTGAACAGGTTGTCAAGGACTTTTTCTTGCTGTTTTGCCGCCAAATCCACAGGGATTCCCTGAGCATGCGCTTGTCTAGCCAGGTACATACTCATCTGCAATAAAAACACATGTTCAATGACGAAAGAACACGCCCATAGGTTTAATATGATAAAGAAGCGTTTTGCATCTTGCTATGTTGGAGATAACGCTATAAATGAAAGTCCTTGAAAAAAATGAAATAATACAGGACTTGATAAACTGCTTAAATTTTCATTCGAATTTAAATAAACCAAACTGAAGGGGGGAAAACATCACAAACATGAATATTCAAAACACATGGGATCTAAAAACGTTAAACATGTACACGTAAAGTTATTATTCGTTGTATGACAGTGTAAATTTGAATGCTAAATACATGTAGGTCAAATTAAAAACGAGTGCAGATAGACTTATATAATTATGTGATTATACGCAGTCAAGCTCCGATCATGATTATATACATTTCGTGAAATCATGAAATTTTATCTTTTGGAAGGAAATACAATCAAAAAGATGCTTCCTTTGCACCGACACGAATTGCACTTCCGTTCTCGATTCCCGCTAAGCAATTAGAGACAATCTTGCATCGTGAGCCATCAGCGTGCAATACATTTTCGGCTTTATTGCCAGCAAAAACACGGGTTACGCTAACACGTTTAAATCAACCCTAAACCGATCGTTGGAAATATATTTTAGGAGAAAACGAATTTTTCTATCAAAAGCCGGGAACATGTATTTTCGTCTACAATTCCAATGGTACTGTATAACGTTTTTTAATAAGGGCGTTTTTCTAAGTGTTCATAAAATAACCCTTCTCAATTTGTGAATATTGTCAGTAAAATAAATTCCTTGCTTTTTTCTTTCTTTTTTTTTTGGGGGGGGGGGGGAGGTTAAGTCCATATAATATGTTAGCGCAAAAAAATCAATAATTTAATATGTTGCAACGAAGGAGTGTCCATGTAATTCATTGAAAATAAAGTAGTATCTATATATTGTGTTAATCTTATGAATTTCTATGAATCAAACTAAAAACATGACATGTTTATTACTACAGTACATGTCCACTACTCTGATACACAAAGTTCCTTACTTCATCCTTGGTCAAGTGGTTGTCGTTGTCGATATCTATGAGTTTGAATACATTTGGTGGCTTTGGACCGTCGTGGATCTGGATCAGCTCCACCTCAAATACTAAATCAGAGTTGGGGGCAATGATAGGTGCTGAAGACAATCAATCAAACAATAAATTAACAAAATAAAATAAATAAATACTAGTAAATAAACAAGAAAGCCTTCACCTAGGACTAAAGCATATTTTGTATATAACGCTAATTTACTTGAATGAGAGCAATATTAATCCAACTATAAAAGGGTTTGATCTAAAAGTCATTCAACAGAGGTAACAATTTTAAGTCTGAAAAAAGTCTGGATTCAAATAACATGTAAATGAGTTCATCTAAGATGGGGATTTTTGGTCTAAGACTTATGTCCTTGCCAATGCTGTAGGTAATAAATCTGTTAAGTACTGGAAACTAAGAGTAACGTTAACTTGTAAAGTGTAGATGAATCCTGTAAACTAATAGTATATCAGTCTGAAAAGTTCATATAAATAATGTAATATTAAGCAATAAACCGTAAACAAATCTTGTAAACTCTGTAAAACTTGAAAACCTTATACTGTGGTTATTACCTTTAAGGGCCAGAGACATAAAAGTGCGGAATAATTAGTAGATTAGTAGAGTAACTGTACCCGGGGATATCTTATATCTTTGTTCAAATTTTAATAGTTAATTGTTAATTGATTTAAGTAATTGTAATTAGGCATGTACTCACTAGGGAATGGCAATTATCAATTTATCAATAAGAGATAAAAGACGCAATTTGTTAACATATCTATAGGCATCTGTAGATGGTGCTGCTGCATGCATGTTTGGGGACGAGTTTCAAATACATATTAGTGTAGATGCATGTCCAATTAGCGGTCTTATATTTAACGCCCTTAAAACAGAAAAACCTGTTTAAGTGTTACAGCTTATATCAATAGACATTCCAGTCAAAAATAGACAAACGAGTTAGTAACGACCTTAGCAGGGCTTCTTTAACACAGACACTTCTCTATGAAGATTAGAGGGGGTAACAGGTGCGCGTTAATTATATTGAAATATCATTGTAATGAGCTATGAATGATGCATGACGGATAACATACAACGCATTGATTTGATGGAATGAAAGATATTCAAGTTACCCCGGTCATTTGATAAATAGAACAGAATTACGTATGTCGAAAATTATATCGTGTGTGTCATGTTTCTTGAAAAGTGTTCGTAAATTTAACAGTCAGCATTTTTTTTCTTCAGATAGGCATTGATCTATGTTCCGGCGCCTACAGTCTTACAACACTAGAGCTCCAAATGATATTGTTTTACCTGATATGGGGGTTGCATATTCAGTTTCAATAGGAGTGAAGTTGACAGAACATGCAACAATTGACAAAAAGTTGAGCTACCTGAGCCATGTTCCCCGTAGGCCAATCTAGAGGGTACGGATAACTGGCGCTTCTCTCCGGCACACATGTCCAACAAACCTTTCTCCCATCCTTGAATGACTTGTCCAACCCCGAGTTGGAACTGGAACGGAATTGCCCCTGGTCTCTCCCGACTAAAAAAAAACCAATCAATTATTAACGGCATGCTGGCTTTATCGGTAAGGGTTTTAACTTCTAAATAGATACTACCGGCACTGCAGGTTTGAGGAAAACTTTAAGAGTATCTTCTTATACTCCTAAGAGACCAAGTACCACAAATAAACTGATTGACTCATTTTACAGTCCCGTAACAACGTTTTTAAAAGGGGCAACCTCACCAAAAAAAAAAAAAGATTGACAAGTAAAAAAAAAAATCCTAAGCTAGCCAAACTCGAAAATCCTATTTCGTGCACGGATTGGAGGGGGTATCTCTAACTTTCCGGTACATTATTTTCCTAAAGCTAGAATTTTAAGTTCTGAAATAATTGTTAGAACTAGCATGATTGTATATTTTCAATATACTAGGTGGGGGTAATGCAAAATTTTATCGTGCTGCAATTTTTACATTTACCTTCACCTAATAGATTTAAAATTTACAACATGAAATAACAATTTATAAAAGCATTCACCGCCATACTCATTTGTTGTTTTTTGTAAAATGCAAAGAACACAAGAACCGATTTAGGTAATCCAAGTTAAAAAAAAAAGAAAGAAAGAAAGACAAAATAGGATCTAAGCAAGCTAAGAAAGCATGCGTTATTACGAAGCTACTCAATTATTGGAGAAAACGTCTTCAATTTTAAAATCTCTTTTTATTCCTCCTACCCCCTCTTTTCCTATTAAAAAAACTAGAACCTTTTACATCTACATTAAATGAGACCATATCTCGTAATATCCATACGCGTAGATCATTATTGAAGTTCAAACAAAAATTATACCGATTACATTCTACACTGGTAAGAGCACTGGAAAAGTGCGGTGTATGGTTAATCAAAAAATCCCCTCAAACTCAAAGAAGAGACATTTGCTTTTTGCGGAAGTGACTTTAAATTTGCTAAGAGCAGAAAACTTGCGGTTTGCTGATTGAAGAATATAGATGTATATTTAATACACAAGCACACAGCGATGAATCATAAAACGATGATAAATTGTGCAAGCGTAGTCACTTGACAAAGGTCGTTAACAAGATACTTAAAAAAATGACGAAAACTTGAAATTTGAATTGATCATGCAACATCTTAAGACAGTTCTTACGTAACTTGTGTCAGTTAACGTAAATGTTTATTCATCACTTGTGAATAATATATGGTATAATCAGATATTACAGAAAGATACATCATTCTAAAGAGAATATTTGATTGCTATGACATGGTGGTCCAAGGTTTACCTGGAGTCGAATTTAGTTCCGTTATCAAAAAATCCTTCGTAATGAATTACTAAGATGTCTGCTTCCTTGGACTTTCGCGGACAATCCGAAGCGTGTGCTAAAACTTGAATTCCTAGCTGTGGTTCCCCACTTGGAGGAACGCCCTGATGGTTTTCTGCCTCCTGATGCGGGGGTAAAGACAGACACAAATGCAATATGTTAAATCCAAGAACGATCACACAAACACACTTTAAATACGATTGCATTTTGAAGGTATATGTTCACAATTATAGTATATGACCTTTTATTATACAGACTGTCCGTGTCTGTGATTGGAATATAAATGGGTTTTTTTCCACGTGGCTTATAAGGGAAAGGTCCACGTGTAAAATAACGTCTCTGAACAGGGAAGTGATCTTAGAAAGTGATGCAATGAACCCGGAGGGGTTTCACAGACTAGTTTTACGGGACCCCCGAGGCACTCTATCTATACACTACAACGAGAAACACAAATGACCTTAAGCTTTATGGCAATTTTTTCTTTACAGAAATGTTTTAACTTTATTGGTTTAATACATCATTGTAATAATTAATCATCAATGGGAGAGTGGATTCCCTTGCTTTATTCCACCAGTGGCGTTGAACACTCCAGCGTCCTCATCGTTAAAAAAAGGAGAAAAAGAGAGAGAATAAACGAGAGATCCCCAGGAGCCAGAAAGTACCCATCTGGGATCCGGGAGCAACAATTAAGAAATTTAGTACACCTAAATAGATCTTACTATACATTTTGATATATATATTTTTTTATTACAGTTATATATTTCAACTGGTTATCAGGTATGATAGTCCCAGCATGGGTGCACATTTTTTCTATAACACAGTTATCAGCCCCCCCCCCCCCCCCCCCTAAAAAAACAATTCTGGTGTTCTAATTATAGTAACAGCAGTCATGTTTTTAAATGGATAGATCTTTTATAGAGGACATGGCTCACATCAGTTCTATAAAATCTCAAAAGTTTCAAAGAAGATTTCTGAGGAAAAAAGTTTACTTTGAGGACAACGACACCGACGACAATGATGGAGCCAAGTGATGGCATAAGCTCACCTGGCAATCTGCGCCAGGTGAGATAAAAACAACTAGATATTACATACACATAGAATTAATTGACGAAATAGTTTTAATATCCGAATTTTGTATATTTTATAAAACTTTAATTGGCTTTTCTGGTCCCACCCTACCCCAAGGGGTCATGATTTGAACAAACATCAATCTCTTCTGTCCTAGTGGTTCTTGAGATTTTCAAAGATTTTCCTATACATGTATATTCCCATGTATAACGTTGATCGTCTATTAAGGCCCTAACTTAATCTTGGGGGCCATGATTTGAACAAACTTGAATCTAAATTAATTAAGGAAGCTTTCACATAAGCTTCAACTTTTCTGGCCCAGTGGTTCATGAGGGGAAGAATTTTTTCAGCTTCCGAGACCTTTTTTTTTTTTTTTTTTTTTTTTTTAAATTTGATCATCAACTTTTCCAATAGTGTGTGGCCCTTCATTTGGAAAAAAAAACTTAAATCGCATTCACCCAATTATGCTTTGGGGAAAGTTTGGTTGAAATTGGCCCTGTGGTTCTGGAGAAGAAGTAAGAAATGTGATAGTTTACAGACAGATGAACGTCTTTCAACATGTGATCAGAAAAGCCAACACGAGCTTTCAGCTCAGGTAAGCTTATAATATATGCGCCAGGTATTAAAATAATCTTGTGAATTTCTAATCAACCATATTCCGATATTTCACCCATCCTCCCATTCCCATCCTCTCCCAGGACTCCACCCTAAGACCCATGGAAAGGGATTCGCAGCCCTTTTTATTCGGGCGTCCACTAATATTATAGAGAGAGAGAGCTTTGCGCCTGTACGAAAATATTCAAGTCCGAGATCTTGCAATGCGTTTGATTTAGACCCAATGAATTATAAAGGATTATTCTAACGAAGATAAATAATATAAGAAACTAAATTTGTTTGCGTATCAATTTTTGGGACATGCAAAGTTCAAGGACTGGATTTTTGAAATGTCAAATAAGCTTACAGGTAGATTTCGTTAAAATATCATATTGCATGAAGGTTATATCACAAGGATCCATAGCTAGCTATTCGTATCTTTTATCCACATTATTAATGGTGTATAAACTGAACCATTCCAGTAATGAATATAAGTGCGGAAAGATCATAGAGCGGAAATTTTTATCGTAAAAACTAACACTCGCCTTTCTGTATATAGCCCCCAGATATTTGAATAATTTAACATTTTAGTAGAGCTGTGTATTTGTCCAACGTGTTATGTCATTTGTATCATGATCTTTTTTTTCGCATGTGCTATTTGAGTTTCAGTCATAATGGGCTCAACCCCAGTGTATTGATGCACCTTAGGTTTGAATCTTTTTGCAACACTGCTTTTGCGGTTGAAATTGAACATCCAGATTTCTCGTATTTTCTTACAAATGCAAACTTTAGAACTGAAGAGACGAATAACCGATTTTAGACTTAACCAGTAGCCTGCAGAGTCGCGAAATGCACTTTCCCGTTTTTTATGCAAGAATTCAATCCTCGAATCGGCCATTGACACTTACAATTCATGCAGCAGAAAAACTCAACCATTATATTTGTAAATAGGTTACATTTAACGCAGTACTGATGCTCCAAATAAATGAGAGTGATAAAAATCTAAAATTTCCCGCTCCATGTGATAGATCTAATGAGTTTTATTATTTAGCTCAACAGTAAAGGAAATTATTGGAAAAAAATTTGCACGCTTTAACCCTACAATGTACTTTGGACCAATCATCAATACATTTTCAACAAACAGTACAAAAAAAGTTTAAACCCTTTTTCAGCACCCATCAAAACAATTAAACACTTAACTTAAATCGTGTTTTGAATGATACTTTACCCAGTGACTTTTGGTTGAAGTGTCAGACGACAGAAATAAGCGCTCAGAACCAACTTAAAACTGTGGCCCTTCATTAGTGATTGATTTTTCTTTTAAGACAAAATTCTTGTGCAATTCATTTAATCTTCCTGTCGAGCTAATATACAATAAAAAAAAATAATGAATGTTTCACGAATATAGCAACTAACAAAGACAAGGAAGTTAAAAATTTATATATGAAACTGTTCAGCTATTTCTTCTTATTCCGTGTAATTCTACAGACCACGAGCAGCACGTCACCGTGGTTCTAAAATATCATCTGGTGCGAAAATTATAAAAGCAATCGATTTTATCCTCCCTAGCTGTCAAACAAAGGAAACCTGACATCATAACGTCCATGTAAGGAGACATTGTCCTAGACCACTTCAACAATCATTAACCTAGCTGCACTTGTACCAAGGAGAAGTATCTTGATACTTTTATGCCACGGTTGAATGAATTTACAATGATTTTCAAAAGAAACCCATTTAAACACTTCTGCATGAATATTACATTTTCTTCTATTTGTAAAGTCCTTGGCCCTTCTATAAATAGAACCATTTAAAGTGGGCGATTTTCTTTCAAAGACTTTGTAAGTAGATTCATGCAGCAATTGGTATTTTAGATCCAAATTATACACTCAAAAAGAATGAAAAATATAAAGAGACTTGTCTTTTTAGGTCGTTAAAGTCACCCATTACCTATCTGTGTTTTGTCCGTCGTCGTCCGTTAATTTGAACATTTTCAGCATCTTTCCAGAAAAGACTGAACTAATATCATATTGGTGTATTTCACATATTGGGGAAAGAGGAACAGAATTGTGAAACTCATGGTCTCTCCAAAATTGTAAAATTCATAAGCCTTCATGTCTCAGGTTGGGGCTAAGTGTGCAAAGTTGGTCATGTATTGGAAATACATTATACTCTTTTGAAAATCTTAATTTACTCATGCATGGACATCCAGGGGCATCAGGAGACAAACTGCATTATTGTAATTAACATTTGCCCTCCACCAAAACAGTAAAATTCGCGCCCCTGTCCCATGGTTCATAACCCTTGTTCCTACTGTAGTGGGTCAGATATTGAAAGCACATATCATCTTTGAAAATTTTTATGGACATCTGGCAGGTTAAGTGGTTGCCAGATTTAAATGAGCAGCTAGCCCTTTACAAAAATTTAAAAAATAATCATGCCCCAGGGACCAGGCCTCAGGTGGGGCTAAGTTGGTCATAGATTGAAAATTACTATGCAATGAATCTTTTCTTCTTTACTCCTAAATTCAAACTTTTATAGAAGATACAATGTTAGTTGCATGAATATAATAATGATTATAAAGTCCTCACCAAATTGTAAAAGATAGAGTTAGTGACCATAGCCTGAAAAACTCATGATACTCGAGTAACCGTTAGGACCCATGGACCTCTTGTTTCCTCGAATCTTTGGCGCCATAATGTCAATGATTTGTATGACATTAGTTAGAAACACTTAATTTTTCATTGTTTAATAACTCTAATCAGGAAACAAATACAATGTACCATAATTAAAAATAAGATAAAAATAACTGCTGACAACTAACATGAACTGAAATTGTGCAGATGACTGACACTTCTCTTATTCTATAGCTGCTAACTTTCAAAAAGATGATTTGAGGTCTCTAGGTACACTTCCATAGTATATGCATCTTCTATGGCATATATTTTTTTGTTGGTGTGGGATAACAGTGAGTGATTTTAAATTCTTCACCACCTCCAACCCTAACAAAAATTAATATCACTGTCAACTACATGAAAAGGTAAATTAAAAAAAAAATAAAATTCAGCAAAAAATTCCTCATTCAAGGTCGACCTCAAGTATATGTAACGTTGACTAGAAGAGGAGAATGGCACAGGTCCTTCTACACAGGGAAACAACTTATCTGCGGGTTTCCCTTTGGAGCCTGATTGAGCGACAAATGAACGATTAATTTAATAACCCCTCTTTGTATAGATGTTACATGTTTATATATAATGAAGAGGTCCTCTTGTCTCAGCGCTGTGGCTCTAGAGAACTTCCTCCTCTTAAGAGCTTATTTATATATATATAGAAGAAACCGCTTCCTATATAAAGAATTCTATACTAGTATCAAAAACGAGATGATGTTAATTTCAGACATATTTCATCATCTTACAAGGACGATGTTTACGTCATGGTGTTAACCCATAGCAACAGAAAACATTCAAAATGATGCCACTGGAAATGCTAATAAGGGCTTAGAACTTAGGCAGAATTCATTGGATTGCTCTACGTAGTAATAATCCAAAGCTGGAAAGTCAAGGAGACACTTCTCTGTAAGTGCATTAAACGTGATTCACAAGCATTTAATTCTATTTCATATTCACAGAAAGCCCAATATTTTGCTTATGGGTCAAAACTACGAATCATATTCAAAGATGCAACTAAAC